TGAAGGGGTTGAAAATCGCTGCTCTAGACCTCTAGTTGTCTTGTGAGCTCTAATGCTTTTTCCAATATAAAGAAATATATGCCTATTGAGTTTATAGTTCTTTTCCTTCTCCCTTAGAATTCTTGGGAAAATATCCCTTCTTATCTTTAGCTTTTCTATGACATTTAAAGAATAGCTTATAGTTCTCAGCAGTCCCTGGACAAGTACAGTATTAGTTTAGAAACTGTCATTCATACAATATATGTGTGTGTGTGTGTGTGTGTGTGTGTGTGTGTATGTGTGTGTGTGTGTGTGTGTGTGTGTGTGTATTTTATTGACACAGAGAGAAAGGGAGAGGGATAGAGAGCTAGAAACATCGATGGGAGAGAAACATTGATCAGCTGCCTCTTGCACACCTCCCACTGGGGACGTGCCTGCAACTAAGGTACATGCCCTTGACTGGAATTAAACCTGGGACCCTTCAATCCGCAGGCCGAAGTTCTATCAACTGAACCAAACCGGTCAGGGCGAGACTGTCATATTTTCTTAAATTCAGTACTGTCCATTAGGTCTTTCTGTGATGGTGGAATTTGTGATGTCCACTATCAATAGCCACTAGCAGTATGTGGTTCTTGAGCACTTCAATTATGGCTAGTGCAACTGAGGAACTAAATTTAAAATTTTATTTAATTTTAATTAAAGGAACCTCATGTGGCTAGTCTCTGCCCTATAAGGTCAAATATTGATAATTCTCTAGCACACAGAAGAATTGATATAGTTGATAATCCACATTTGTAGGTTCTATTGAGTGATTCACTCATCACCTAGTAAGGCAGATGAATTCCCACTGCTGTATAAGTAATTTAACAGTCTGTCCTAGTTGTTTTATTGGAGGAAATTTGACTGTTTAGCCTCCATCAAATTTAAAACTGGTTAAAGTTCCAGGTAAATCAAAATCCTAGGCAGTATCAAGTTAGATAATCTTTCACCCTGATTGCTGTATCAGTCCCCTAACTAGTATCTTGTCCCTCTCCCAGGCCGGGCCACAAGCGTAGGCGCAGCCGCTGGCACCTGGGACCACAGGGGGGGTGGCTTGTCCCTCTCCTGGGCCGTAGCCTGGCTGGCCCCCATTCCTCTCTTGTGAACTCATTTGTGCCTGGCTGGTCCCCATTTCTCTCATGAGCTCATTTGTTCCTGGCTGGTCCCCATTCCTCTCTTCCCAGTGTTGAGTGTCTGAGCCATTATGGCGTCACCATGTGAGGGCATGACAACCATTTGCATATTAGCTCTTTATTATATAGGATTATTCCCCCAGATGTCTTATAGTTGACTCATTCATATTTAGGTCTCAGCTCAAATGCTTCATCCTCACAGAGGCCTTGATTTTCCTATCTAAAGTAGACCTTTCCACCCTACCCAGTCACTCTTCATCCCTGTTACCTTAGTTTGTTTTCCGAAACCCCTATCCGAGGTTTCAGCCTGTGGTCAACCATAGTCTGAAAATATTACATGGAAAATTCCAAAAAGAAACAACTCATAAGTTTTAAATTATACAACTTTCTGAGTAGCGTGCTGCCCTGCTCCATTTCACCCAGGACATGAATCAGTGAATCATCCCTTTGCTCCCTGTCCATTAGTTATTTAGTAGTTGTCTTGGTTATCAGATCTACGGTCTTGATACTGCAGTGCTTATATTTATTAATAATGGCCCAGAGCATAAGAGAATGATGCTGGCAATTCAGATAGGTCAAAAAGAAGCCATATATGGCTTTCTTTAAGTGAAAAGGTATGTATGTATAAGGGAAAACACAGTATATATAGGGTGTAGTATTGCTCGTGGTTTCAGGCAACCAATGGGGGTCTGAGAGTGTATCCCCAGTGAATAATGGGGGACTACTTTACTGAAATTATCTTGTTTATTGCCTGTCTCTGAGAATTTTCTCCATAAACACACGGAATTTTTCTGTCTTATTTACCACTATAGTCTTGGTGTTTATTGTAGAATGATGTCTGACATAAATTAGACATTAGTGAATACTTTTTAATGAACAGTGAGTTAATAAGTGAGTGAACTCTGTGGTACTGTCTTTAATTACTACATATAGTTTTAAAAGATTATTGAGGCCTCTCAGCCAAGGAAAGCTTTATCTAAAGGGTATAACTTAAATGTTGGCTCAGAAGATTGGTTTGATTTTAAAAGAGGCTTTTTTTAAAAATAGTCAAATTATAGGAGATAAAGTTAACAAGGTAGGTCCCTCTCTGCTACTTACCCATTTTTTGACATAGTGCTAACCATCATTTGTTTGGAATTTGCCATTCACTGACATGATACATCCTGCACTGTACATAAAGCATTATTTAAAGTTGCTTAGTGAATATATTGAGATTAACCGCTAAGAATTCCATTGTACAGAGAATGATGGATGATGCTATTGACAAAGATAGAAACATATAAGAAGAGGGGATAAGATAGTGAAGTTGATTTTAGACCTGATGTTGGCCTGTGTTTTATTAGTCGAAATTATGAGCCTGCTGAAAGCTGTTTTATTTCTAGATTGAAATTAGAAAAGATTGTTAAATTACTAATGAAAAATTAGTAGCCTAAGTGGTTATTATAATTGGGAACAGCCTAAATGGTCATTAATGGGGAAGTGGTCAGAGAAGTTGCGCTACCTGCACAGGATAAAATAATTATTAATAACAAGGGCAAAATGCTCATGGTATAATGTCATGAAGCTGGACATTAAACTGTTACATAGTATCTCAGTTTTATAAAAATATTCATAGGTATTTATAGGAAAAACTGAAGGGACATGTTAAAATATTGATAATAACTGAATGATTTTAACTTTCTTTAAAATTTTTTTCTAATTTGAATGTGTAATGCTTTAGTGCTAGTAAAAATATTTAACAAATGGGTAAAGAAAGAAATGAAGGAGTTGGTTTCAGTCTGGATTAAAGTTTGGCAAAGGAAAGAAATAGAATATTATGCTGAGGGAAATAGAGGATCTAATAGACTTTATTGAATGACTAGAGGTCCAGTGCTTGAAAATTCATGCACTGGAGGAGAGGGTTTCTCACCTTAGCCTGCCCTCCTCAGTCTAGGAGCCCGCAGGGGCAACCTAGCGATCAGGGGAAGATGATGTCCCCACCACACCTCTGCTACTGCCAGTGCCGGCAGCGCAATCCTTGGCCAGCCCTAGTTACCTGTGCCTCGGGCTGGCCATGGGCGGCTGGGCAGCCTCCATCCAAGGCTTGTATGTAGCCGCCATCCAAGGCTTGTCTGCAGCTGCCATCCAAGGCTTCTCTGCCGGTCCTGTTTGCCTGAGCCTCATCAGTGGGGGAGTTCAGGAGGACCCAAGGCTCCCAGCAGGGCTTAGGGAACTCTTGGCAGCAGGTGCGTGCTGAGCGGCCTGCTGAGGCATGGAGGATACTCTCAATGACATGAGTTATAACTTCCAATTTGTTGTACACCAGTCAGTCTTCAGCTTCCGGAAAGGGAGCAAGAGAGAGATGGGCAGCTCATTGGAGGAGCCTGGGTGGCTGTCAGTTAGTGGCAGGTGCAGGAGGATCTGAGGGGCCCTGGGGGGCAAGGGGCGCAGGAGCTGAGGGGACTCTGGAGGCAGGTGCAGAGTGGCCAGTCTTGCCCCCACTATGGGTGCCGCCATCTTGTGAGGATGTGATGGTAAATTTGCATGTTACCTCTTTATCATATAGGATTAATGAATCAGGCAGCATCCCATCTAGCAAACAGAAGGGAGTTCCCTGATTTTCATACACATTAGTATTGAATGTGAACTTGGATGTTTTTAGTAATAAGTCTCTAACTAGAGTTATATACTTGTTTTCTTTTTTTTAAATATATTTTATTGATTTTTTACAGAGAGGAAGAGGGATAGAGAGCTAGAAACATCGATGAGAGAGAAACATCGACCAGCTGCCTCTTGCACACCCCCTACTGGGGATGTGCCTGCAACCAATGTACATGCCCTTGACCGGAATCGAACCTGGGACCTTTCAGTCCACAGACCGACGCTCTACCACTGAGCCAAACCGGCTTCGGCAATATATACTTGTTTTCTTGATGATTTTGCAGAGATCATGTTTGTTTGTTTATGGGTGAGGGCAGGTTTAGGAAATAATTTAAAGAGAAAGGTATACTACGCCTTTCTGGTGTTTATGTTATTTGGAGACAGGATGTAGCTAATTACCAACTTCTCTGACAAATGTACGCTAGTCATTTGGGAGAAGGGACTATGCTAAATGCATGCTTATTCACCAAAGTCCAAGTCCTCTTGCCTGTTTCCATTTTCTTGTGGTTGTTTGAGAGTTGGGGCCTTTTTCAGGGGTACGAAGTCTTTGGGAAGTGTGAGCTAGAGTTCCTAAGAAAGATAAAACTGATTCTTGCTTGTTCTATAAACAAGAGAGCCATGAAGAGATGTGATTCCTTCTCTAGCAGCATATTTTGTTTTACTTACTTTTGTCACAAAAATTATACCACCATGTAAAAAAAACAAAACAAAAAAAACAACTTAACAATGAAAAGCCTAAAAGGGTATAGATAAATTTCAGCAAGTTAACCACTACCAATAGTTTCTTGTGTTATCTTTCCAAAAGTTTTCTACCTAGCATCACATTTTAGAATGATAGAGAGGAAATGGAACGAGCAATTATGCTGGATTGATTTGGAGAATGTGGGAATCCAGCTCAGTAGAACACTTTATTGAGCACACACCATTTGTTAAGTACTGTGGGTTACAAATGAATTAAACAGTCTATACCCTTAAGATGATCACATTGGAGCCAAGGAAACAGAGCTGGTGCCCATTATTAGAATTACTATTATATAATTCTTGCAATGAATGTTTTCCTGTATTTACATTATTTTTGGCGTGGTTTCCCCACTTCTAACATACATCATTGTAAAATCAAGAGTTTTATGTTTTGGTTTAAATTCTTTTTTAAAAAAATCACTTTACTTGCCATTCAGGTTATTCTTCTTTTATTTTAAAAATATATAGGAATTACTCAAGGTGATGAGGACGATTGATGACAGAATAGTACATGAATTAAACACTACGGTTCCAACAGCTTCCTTTGCAGGGAAAATTGATGCCAGCCAAACCTGTAAACAACTTTATGAGTCTGTAAGTGTATCTTTTGAGTCTTTCTTTTGTGCTTCTATGCATTTCTTTGCAGGCAAAATAAGAACTCATTTGATAAATGTTATAATTAAACTGTGGATAAAATAATGACATTATATTTTCTTCTTGCTCACATCTGAAGTTGCGTATAAGTTTTGACCTAGTTTCTACAAACTAACGAAATGTGTGATTGTAGGCACAGTCTGAAGAGATGGTTCGAAGGAATGGGAGTGGTCGTTTTTGGCCCCTTCTTGGGTAGTCTTTAACTTAAGGAAACCTTATATGCAAAGGAATGAAGGAGAGAGTGAAAACAGTCAAGTAAAATAGTGAAACAAGAGAAGGGCTCAGTCCTAAGAAGCCAGACAGCTGGTATAAGAAGAATTAAAACCTGTCAAACCTTCTATGTCCTCTTTCTTCCCTTACTTGTCAGGAAGGGGAATAGAAGCATTTGGCCGTTGGGAGAGAAGGAAAGTCACAGATAAAATGTCTTTTCCTAAGACTGGTTTTTCAAGTATGTATTTTCATTGACTCTTAAAGATGCCCTTTATTTTTCTCTTCACTTTCTAAAAGCGGAAGGAAATAATAATGTATAGCTAAGTATTTTTTAAGTTTACTTATATATTTTCTTTAACATGGAAGCTAAAGTTCAAATGGCATTTGCTTTTTTAGGCTTTACTGCAAGAATGCTATTTGGATTCATTGTCTCATAAAGAAGGAATTCCTTAAAACCTGACGTCCATTTCTCAGTTATGATGAAAAAAAAAAAATCAGTTTTGGATGAGCTTATTCATTTCAGTTAAATTTAAGCCATTAACTGCTGCTATTTTTGTTCTGCTTTCATATGAAAGTACATTATTTCAGTGAGTGGTCAGGTAATTCTAATGGCTTTAGAAAATCACAGGATAATGGGCTTTAATGAGTAGAATCCAGTTTTGGAAGTAGGCAGCATCATACTGGACCTGATTTATTGTGAGGTTGTTTGACTGTTCACTTAGCTTCTTTGGGTAGCTGTTGAACTGGAAATTATGATCACTTTAGCGAACCCACCCCACTACTCCTAATCTCTGTAACCTATTTGTTTCCAGTCCTTTTATTAATTTAGAAGATTATATTGTAGTGATTATAAAATGGATTCCAGATCTAGATTAAATCCCACCTCTGCTACTTCCTAGGTAGATGACCTAGAACATGTTACATAACCTTTGCCTTAGCTTCCTTATTGGTAAAATAGTATCATAAGAATATCTTGTTCATAGAGTTGTTTACAGGATTAAATGAGCTAATATAAAGTGCTTACTGTACTGAATGTTTTACATAGTAATGCTTGATGCTCCTATTATTAGTTATTGCTATTATTATTTGTTATTCTTTTGTTGAGCCAGGATAACCTGGCATACTAAATTTGGAACCTTTCTGTTTTGTATATTCTTAGGTATATGTTTGGATTTTTTTCTGTCATTATCCTAAAGTAGCAATTTTCAACCTTTCTTATCTCATGACACACATAAACTACTTACTAAAATTTTGCAGCATATTGAAAAATATATTTTTTGCTGATCTGACAAAAAAATTAGGTTTAAAAATAGCTACTGTTGTGTTAGCTGCTGTCAGTTTTTTATTTGATAATCTAAGGGAAAAGAGGTCAGTGCCCCTGGCTAAATAGTCAGGTATTGCATGTTTTAAAATTTTTTATGGCATAGAAGTGTACCACAGCACACCGGTTGAAAATCACTCTCCTAGAGGGATTCAGCAACATGAACATCATGCAAAAGATTGTTTATTAAGTAGTTTTGTGCAGCACAGTGTTAATAAATACCCCTGAGTTCCTTCAAATATTGTCTCAGTTAAGTAATGGAACTCCATGAAATGTCTAAGCTGCTTGTAGTCACCCTGACTCATGTTAGTCCCCGACCCTTCGTCTGTAGCTGATGAATAAGTATTTGCACTCTAATGATAATGCTTCTTCATAGGAGATGATCAGCAAAGTTATTATGAAGCACTTGTTTTAGAAATTCCAAATCTTAAAAATTACTTGTAGTAAAAATAAAATAATTTTAGATCCCCTTGGTAGAGCATATTCCCTTCAATCTATTAAATTAGTCTAGCTTTATTTATTGTTCTCAAGATGAACATAAAAATCAGTTCTGAGCAATATAGTGTCTATGAACTTGGAATAGTGCTCCAAAACTATTATTGGTGTTACAATGATTGATTTAGGGTGATTCATATATATTTAAATGGTATGAATTTAAGTATATTATTTTACATTATTTTTGTCTGAAGAAGATTTAAAACACAAAAAAATGCTATGACAAAAACTTCGTAATTTTTGTTTTGATTTATTTTTTAAAATTGATTTATATAGAGAGAGGAAGGGAGAGATAGGGAGAAACATCAGTATGATTGAAACATTGGTTGGCTGCCTCCTGCACACCCCCAACAGGTGATCAGGAATCAAGCCACTATTCGGGCCTGAGCCCTGACTGGGAATCTAAGCAGCAGCCTTTTCCTTTGTGCACAGGACGATGCCCAACCAACCATAGTGGCCAGGGCTTCTGTTTTATTTGAATGATATTTAACCAAGGGTCATTCTCAAGGTTCTAAAACAAATCAAATGATGTTTAGAATTTAATTTGAAGTTTACTTAGAATCAATCTTTGCTTTAGAAAGAAAAACACCAAAAAACAAACAAACAAACAAACAAAATAACCACACAAAACACCCCATACTATAATTAGGACAACTGTTGGCATTATATTTCTCTTAAGGACAGAAAACATTGTTTTAAAATAGTGGTTAAAAGACATGAAAATTTTAGATTAAACGAAGTTTTTAAAGTTTCGATCAAATAAAACCAAAAGTCCTAGTAAACCTCCTTTAGACTAGTTTTGAATCGTTCTCCTGCCTCCAGTATCTGCATTTCAAAATTGCTTATTCCAACTCAAGGGAAGTATGGTTATGATATGCTTATTGTTCAGGATTTTCCCCCCCTGTATTCAAAGGCCTTCCTTGCCATTTACCAAGTTTCTTAATAAATTTAACCTCAGTCGGTTCCTTTGATAAGCACTTCATATAGATCAGAAACAGTTCTTCTGTGACCAGATCCTAAGCATCTGAATTGCTAGTGAGCCAAGCCTAGTTTAGTGCAATATTTTTCTTTGCTAGGCTTATGTCAGATAATCTATTATTAATTATCAAGTGTCCTAATTTCTTTGACATAGGTACACAGAAAAGTCCAGGCATATTTCTCTTGCACAGGCTCTGAATTCTGAATTTTACTGAAGGATGGTCATGAAAACCAGATTAAAACAATTGATTATACAGAATAAAAGAAAATTTGCCCAGTAATTTCTCTTCACATCAAGTGGTTCCCCAGGAGGCTAATATGAAGGAGAAGTAAGCAGGTGAGGGTGGGAGGGTGATCTGCAGCTAGAAGTCTGTGCACAGAAAATGGGCAAGTTAAAGAGGGGAAGAGTAAAGGAAAGTCCAACCAAAGAAGGAAACTTAGTGGTGAGAGAGACTGAAAGGAAAGGTCCAAAATTTAAATTTGATTTTTAAATGCAGATAGAAAAATGCCAACTGTAATTGAAAAATAAAATTTAAAAATATTAAAATAAGCCCAGCTGGTCTGTCTCAGTGGTTGAGCGTTGACTTATGAACCAGGAGGCCATGGTTCGATTCTTGGTCAGGGCACAGGTCTTGGTTGCCGGCTTTGTTCCTAGTAAGGGGCAGGTAGGAGGCAGCCGATCAGTTGGTTCTCTCTCATCATTGATATTTCTATCCTTTTCTACTTCTCCCTTCCTCTCTGAAATCAATAAAAATATATAAATATACTTTTAATGACCATCATATCAGAAGCCAAAGGGATTTGAAGAAAAACTGAATTGAAAAAATATTAAAGTTCTAAAAACTAAAATGCAGATAGAAAAGTGAGACTATTTTGTTATACTTCTAGTTGGTGCGAGTGTTATTTCACCAGTTGCTGGGGAGTTAGACACAATATCAAGGTGACTAAATAACATCTGGTATCTGAGCAGTGTATTGAGTCATGTTGCCCCCAAATATTAGAGGTAGAAAGGATATCAGTGATTATTTTCTCAGAATTTTACAAAAGAAGAAACTGAAGCCTGGAAATGCTAATTTCCTTGTTACACAGCAACAAGGAGAACTTTGTAACTCTCAGGATGGCTCTTTTCTTTTTATTCTCTTTTAGGAAGAGTAGTTCCCTACCCTTAGTGGCTCCTTTAATTTCCTGTAATTATACCTGAAGGAGTACAGAAGCAGCATATTAAACCATTTGTGAATCAAATGTTACAACGAAAAAAAAAATAGCATATTAGAGAAATTTGCTATAGGTGGGGTTAATGTCTATCAGGCAGTTTATTTGTACTTTTTTTCTCTTTCTGTGGGTATGGTTTATAATCACTAGTAATGCACTTTTAGGACTGCACTCTAGAACTGCAAAGGCTTATTCTTTCCAGGTGAAAGATACATCAGTCATTCTCAACCGTAGGGTCCCAATACATCTGGGAGATGTATTTCAAATAACTTATGAAGAATGCTTATAGAATGGTTAAGTTAGTTATCCCTATTATAACTACCACATTAGGTTATTCTCTCTTCAGAAAGAAGAAGGAATGATAATTACAAAGAGCAAGTTAACACTTAAATTTTAGTTGTAGGTGAACCACTGATATTTATGTACCTTTACAATTGTGATAATATATTATTTTAGTGTTTTTGCTTTTTCTGTGCCCCAGATTTTTGAGGTGTGGTAAAACTTTGGCTATGATCATAGGAATGTGTTTGAAATGAATCAAGACAGAAAATAGATGTGAATTGTTATAATTGTTATACTGGATTTGCTACATCAACATGATGGTTAGTAAAAAATTGTTTTGACAGATGTCCTTTCAATCAACACACACAATTGGTGGAATCAATAATATGTACATTATACATACGTTTTCCTTATTGATATTTTAAAATCTTAAAAAGGACTCTGTCTTACATAGGTAAAGTAACTTTGTTTTTCTTTATTGTAAACTAAGAGCTGCTCTGCGTCACCTACTTTATAATTCCTTGTATTTGGTGACAACATGAGGCTGAAGAAAGCATGAAAGGACAAAAAAAAGGGAGGAAGAATACCAATAGGAAGTGGCCCGGAAGATGGGTGTAGGGTAAAGGAACATATGGATGGAATGAGGAGAGAGGGGCATGGCAGGGAAAAGGAGACAGAGGCGATGAGTCCAGTGTGGGGGTGCAGGAAGAGGGTTCAGGAAGAGAGCAGGAAGCCCTGGGAGCTTATTGAGGAAGAGGACGACCCAAGCACTGGCAGAGGTGCTTCCTTTGATCTGCTTTTAGGGGATTTAGCTGATTAGCACCATCTTTTCTTCCATGGACATAATTTTTAAAGACTGTTTTAGAAAGTATTACATTTCTGTAGTCTAAAAATAAGGATTTAAAAAACAACACTAAAATGTGATAAATTGGTGTGATTTTTTTTTTTCTTTTTTCATTCCTTTGTTCTTTTAGTTGATGGAGGCTCATACCAGTAGGGACAGATTTATAAAAAATTGTATAGCTCAGACTTCATCAGTAGTAAAACACCTCCGAGAAGAGAGAGAAAAGAATTTGGACGATTTAACGTTATTAAAGCAACTTAGAAAAGAACAGACAAAGGTAAGTTGAATAAGGTTTACATTTCTGAGGCAAAGTTTTCCCAAACTTAGCCTTCAAAATAAAAGCAGTTTTTAATATGAAAAATTTAGAGTAAGGTATGATTATTACTTTAAGAAAATTACCAAGAGATTAAAACTTCATTTTCAGTGGACCTTATTTTTACATTTGGAAATATCCTGTGGTAAATTGGTAAATTAATGTGCATTTCATGAATGTATGCATTGTAGCAGGTTTAGCTTAAAATAAACATGTAATCATATTTTATTTCAATTCCTGCTGTTAAAGGTAAAAGGATTAATTCAGACCAATATCACACCAGAAAATCTAGAAAAATCACATCTGTATCTGTGTCCTGAGACTTGACTTGAGAAAAAACATTTCTTAAATGTATTTACACTTTGAAAATATTTACTTCTGGTGTTATTTGTAGAAATTTGCTGAAATATAATACAGATAATTAACTTCAGAACATTAACCTCTTCATCCATTAAAATATAGTATAATTTATTATAACCAGATATACTACAACCTCATTATAACTTATTTCCTTACTATGGAGAGTTGCTCTGGTTCTTTGGCTCTTTTTTGGACATGCTATTTAACCTTCCATTCCTGAAGCTTTTGCTGTTAAGAAAATAGCAAGTGCCCTCTGAGAGCTATGTCAGAGGAAGCTTATTTTCCAGAGTCAGCTATAATGTAGGTAAGGTGTGGACATCTGCTAATGAAACAGAACACTTCTTTAAAGCCCTAAATGTGACATGGCAGGAAAACAGGTGAAATGTGTATGTATCATATTTTTCTATGTGGTATGCATTACTGTCTCCTGGGGGTCTCTTAAGGGGTACCTTTTTATTTTTATATAATTTCAAACTTACAGAAAAGTTGCAAGAATAGTATAAGGAACTCACGTGTACCCTTTACCTGATTGACCTATTTGTTTACATTTTGCTCCACCTGCTTTACAATCTGTTCTTTTCATGCTCCCTTCTCCCTCTATCCTTCTCTCCCTCTTTCCCAGTCTTCCTTTCCCTCCCACCTATACATTTTTTCCCCCTAAGCCTGTTTGAGAGTATGTTTGGCATGTTGTACCCCTTTAGCCTTATGTACGTTGGTTATTTCCTAAAGACGGGCATTTTCTTACATGACCACTGTACAATTATCAAAATAATGTCTATATTTTAAGATGCCATGACAGGTGACTTCCTGAGCCTTGCTTGTCAGGTGAGTGCAAATCCATTGTGGGATGGGATCATGTTTTTCATATTGAACAGTTGTGAAGTTTGCCCTTTGTTAGGAGATGTAGCCAGACTTTGAAAAGGAGGCCTTGTCATCTCTTTCAAGCCTTTGTTCTTGGAGCTGCACATGAGTGTGCACTTTCTCATCCTCCCCCTGGTGCTGTCTGTCTCACTGGATTCGGGATTCACCCTCTGTCGCCACTGCTCTCTTTGGTCATGAGACTGCTTCAGCCCTGTGTTCCATACCTGCTTGTTCATCAGTGGAGGGTTTCTCGATAGGGGACTTCTTCTCTAATGGTCATCTTGCTATACTATTAGTGTTTATGAAGACCTAGAGATAATTTATATATCGCCCGTTAAAATGCAGTTGCTTTTGGATTTTGTATTTTAACACTCTTTACTGTATTAACAAACAAAACTGCAGGGCAGGGCTGGTAAATCAGAAACTGAAAAATCACTATTTGCAAATTTAGTCAAACAAAGAATAAAGTGACTGTTAGTGGAGAGCAAAGTTCAGAAACCAGTGAGTGTTTGGAAGTGTCACACAGATTGCCCCGCCCTCAGTGCTGCCCTCTGCCTCTAGGACCCAGAGAGTCACCAGGGTGACCACTGTAAAGGGGGAGCTTTAGAAACCACTCAGTGAGTCAGGAAGTATAGCTTTCTACCTGATACCATATAGGACTATAGGGTAACAATTTACTTACGTAAATAAGGAAACCTGAATTTTTTATTTGCTATGGAGATTATGGAGTCAGAATGAGACAGCCCTTTTTTTAAAAAAAATCAGTTTTTTGGAGAGAGAGAGGGAACCATCATTATGTAGCTCCACTTATTTATACATTCATTGGCTGATACTCATATGTGCCCTAAACTGCAACCTTATTGGGACAGCGCTCTAACCAACTGAGCTACCTGGCCAGAGCAGAAAGAGACAGCTGTACAGAGCTGTTCTGGCTCCACCTCTTCATTTTCTGTATAGGAAACTGAAACTCAGAGATACTAACTGACACCCTCAAATCACAAGCTGGTAAGTAGTAGAACTGGAACTTGAACCCATCTCTTCCATCTCTTCCACTATTACTGTAGTGGACATACTAATCAAATTCTGATTTCTGGCCCATGTAGCTGATTAAAATCCAAAACTGAGGTGGCTTTGGTATGTGCAGGTAGGCTTCTTCAGGCTTGTTGCTCCTTGACAGCAGAGCACCAGTCATGGAAATGCAGCCCTTCCCTGTGTTCCCCAGTTTTAGCCCTGTGTACTGGCCTACACTCTGACATCAGCTCAGAGTCAAGGAAGGGCATTTACAAGGAGCCATTGTGTCAGTACAGTCTTATTAATATTACTAGAGGCCCAGTGCATGGAATTCATGCACAGGGCAGGGGGTTTCCCTCAGCCCAATCTGGGACCCCTCAAAGGATGTCTAACTGCCCATTTAAGCCCTATCCCACCATCGGGCAGTTGGACATCCCTCTCACAGTCCAGAACTGCTGGCTCCCAACTGCTCATATACCTGCCTGCCTGCCCGATCGCCCCCTAACCACTCCCCTGCCAGCCTGATTGACACCTAACTGCTCCCCTGCTGCCCAATTGCCCCTAACTGCCCTCCCTTGCCAGCCTGGTCACCCCCTACTGTCCTCGCCTCTTGCCTGGCCAGCCTAGTTGCCCCTAACTGCCCTCCCTTGCAAGGCCTGGTCCCTCCCAACTACCTTCCCCTGCAGGCCTGGGTCCCCCTCGCAGCTGTTCTCCCCTGCTGGCCATCTTGTGGCGGCCATCTTATGTCCACATGGGGGTGATCATCTTGTGTGTTGGTGTGATGGTCAGTTTGCATATTACCGTATTTTTCGGACCATAAGACGCTCCAGACCATAAGACGCACCAGTTTTTAGAGAAGGGAAATGAAGAAAAAAAGATTCTGAAACAAATAGTGTCCTAAAATATTTTATGTGCATTAAAACCCAACATCACAGTCATAAACACATGTAATCAACCCTGTAAAGTAAACAGCAGCATTTAGAACCATTTTAGAGCCGGGCAAGCACACAGAGACCACACAGAGCCGGGCAAGTAAAAAAAACTTTTTTTTAAAAGTATATGTGTAGGCTATATTTGGACCATAAGACGCAGGGACTTTTCCCCCCCCACTTCTGGGGGGGAAAAAGTGCGTCTTATGGTCCGAAAAATACGGTACCTCTTTATTATATAGACATGCACGTTCTCAAACTTCCTGCCTAAGCTCTAATCCTGTTGGTCAGGTTCTTTGGCCTGGGTCTCCGGCTCATGGTTGCCAAGATGGCCTGGTTCTTGACTTTGGCCTGAGGAAATCATTCTGGTTTTGACCTCCTGGCTGTCTGAACCTGTAGTTCTTGCTTTTTTATCCTAATTTTTCTGAATATTTTCAAGCCCTTTTCCTGGAATTGTTAGGTTCTTTCCTTTCAGGTTTCTCTTACCAGAGGTGAGTGACTAGGAATATGATAGTCCCTGACATCTGGACCTAGCAGTTGTATCGGCTACTTTTATGATTAGGTTGGCAGTTATAAAGAAAATTAGGAAGACTTAAGAATTTTTTGCTTTAGACCTCTGGAGCTATATGGTCAAGGTGTAGAAAACTCATGCCTTTCAAGATCAGTTGGGCCTTATATAGTCCCTTTCCTCTCTTTGGTCCCCCACCCCCACTCCCCGCCTTGTCCAAGTCCTTTTTCTTAATCTAAATCAAATAGCCACCTCCTTACCATCCTTTTTATTCCTCTGTGCTGTCTGCAAATCTGTATTTTAGAATCAATAACCAGATCTGGGAGTTTTTAGTTCAAGGACATGTGAATTTATAGATTTTTGATAAAATCTATATTGTCTTTTATAGAGGTAGCTATTTTTATTTCTTCTGTGAATTACTTGGGAATTTTAGGTTTTTTTTTTTTTTAAAGCTCTCAAAGTGGTTATAATATACAGAAAAACTTGAGATCCATGGGTTTTATAAGATTTAACAATTGATTAGTTATTGAAAGAATGTGTGTCAAAGAAAGTTCCTAAATCTAGCCCAGGTAATACTGCTAACAAAGAAAGCAGCAACAGTGGCTGGTTTTGTTGGAAAAACATTATAGAGTTTGGTTTTAGTTTTTTAATTTACATTTTCATAACTTATTAGTAAGTTTGTTTTTCCTTTCTTGCAGTTGAAATGGATGCAGTCAGAACTGAATGTCGAAGAAGTGGTAAATGACAGAAGCTGGAAGGTATGAAGCAATATTAGCTCTGAGAGAACTGGGAGGGAAACCAAGGGAGGAGGAGTCAGGAGAGCCCTAGGGCTCCTAAGAAGAATAGAGATCCTCCATTTACAAGCAGCTGAGGGTTTTCACTTGGGAGTGGGGTTGGGGGGCAGAGGATATGGTTAGCATCCAAATAGAATCATCTTATAAAAACTAATTTTAAAGTTATGGTAGAATTGTATGACTTGTCATGGTAATAAAATTGGAGACATTCTGTATGTTTTTAATACTAATTATGGGCATATTTGATATTTAGAATTTTTACTCAATTAACTCAGAACCTTTACTGAGGTTATTTGTTAAAATTAGTCCTTTTGAGCCCAGTTACTTTCCATAAATTTTTATAACATCAGCTACCCTTCACAGTTGCTTGTTTTCTAACTTCTGATCCTGAAACATTCTTGTACATATTGTAGTTTTTAGTATCTGACAGTAGAGCTTTTTCTGGTTCCTAGATTCACATGATCTTTATTACCACCTGCATAGTACTGATTAGGAATCAGATAGGTGGATGGGGATTCTAGGACTTCCCATGTAGAAAAAAAAAAAATCATAAAATCCTGACTTTAGTTTCCTAAAAATGTCTGTCTGCATACCCCTTTCCAAAACTATATCCCCCTCTCCTTTCCGAAGGGTAAAATCTATTAAATCTGAAAGAATGAATTGAAAATTTTGTTTTATCCTTTGTAAGTAACCAGTGGTATGGGCTTAATCTAGAAGAGGTTAATTGAACTAAAAACTAAAATGCAAATCCATGAATAAATTGCAAAAACAAATTGATTTTCTTTGTTTTTGTACATTCTTCTCTCCTCCCACCCCCACCCCCCTTTCAAACTCTAAAAGAAAGTATACTTAGAACGTTACAGAAGTAGAAGTGAGCCATAGAAGAAATGAGCTCAGAAAATAAGTTACAGAAGCAATAGTAGGGCCCATGGAGTTTAGGAGAAAGAGAGGGGCAAGGAAAACATGCCTGGGGGGAGAGTGTGGGGAAAGACCTGGGCGGGTTCCATAGAGAATGACGCATACATTTCTTTATTTGATCTTCTGCCAACATTTCCTATCCCAACCCTTTTCACCAATGTGATAAGGTGTTTGCTACTTGAAAGATTTTTGGCAATATTTGTCCATTTAAATTCACTGGAGAGATAATATTTGCTCTTAGAATGGGGAAGAGGAGAGGTACAATAAATAACTGGTTTGAAAAATCCAGTGCAGAGGTTGATATAGGTAAAATGTATTGTAGTGGGAAGAGTGAAGCATTTTTGGATTTGATACTACCCTGTTTCCCTGAAAATAAGACGGTGTCTTATATTAATTTTTTCTCCCAAAGTTGCACTAGGTCTTATGTTCAGGGGATGTCTTATCTTTCCATGTGCTAGGTCTTATTTTCGGAGGATGTCTTATTTTCGGGGAAACACGGTAGTTATAAAGGAAGTATACTCCATCCTCCCCCACAGAAAGTAAGATTCCCCACTTGTTTTAAAAAGAAGAAAATGTAGCCATGGTGCAGTAGGCCAGCAAAAGTAGTTAGGAAGTCATTTAGGAAAAGGATTTGGAGAAGCTCAACTGAGCTATATACATTGTCCAAACCACTGTGTCAAGGCCACTAATCTGAAGCCTCTGCTGGTCTGAGTGTTGGGAACTTAAAGGAACATTAGGGCTGGGAACTGACCTGTGATAAACTATTAGATGAAAGGAACAGAAGGAGTCTATATATTTTCAACGTTTTTTGTTTGTTTGTTTGTTTTTTAATTGTGAGACACAGGCCTAGGCGTATACATCATGTAGAATTTAAAGAATGTTAATAAATTAACATTCATGTATTTACCACCTAGCTTGAGAAGTTGAATAATAGCACCACCTTAAAACTCCCTCTGTAGATTTTGCTTTTATTTTTTTTTATTATTTTTTTTAATATATATTTTATTGATTTTTTACAGAGAGGAAGAGAGAGGGATAGAGAGTTAGAAACATCGATGAGAGAGAATCATTGATCAGCTGCCTCTTGCACACCCCCTACTCCCCAGTGTCCGCAACCAAGGTATAATACATGCCCTTGACCGGAATCGAACCCGGGACCCTTCAGTCCGCAGGCCGATGCTCTATCCACTGAGCCAAACCAGTTTCGGCAGATTTTGCTTTTATTTTTATGACTAAAGTTCTGGTGCACGAATTCATGCACCAATGGGGTCCCTCGGCCTGGCCTATGGGATTGGGCCGAAATTGGTTCTCCAACATCCCCTGAGGGGTTCTAGATTGTGAGAGGGTGCAGGCCAGACCGAGGACACCCACCAGTACACGATCTGGGCTGGGGAGAGATGCGGGAGGTTGGTCAGCTGGGGAGGGACCTTAGGAGGGCTCCAGGGCATGTCTGGCCCATCTCGATTAGTCCTAATCGGCCAGACCCCAGCAGCAAGGTAACCTACTGGTCAGAGTGTCTGCCCTCTGGTGGTCAGTGCATGTCATAAGCGGTTGAGCTGCCTTAGCATATTATGAGCATATTAACACTTTGACTGGTTGAATGTCCAACCAGTTGACTGGACACTTAGCATATTAGGCTCATACTATATAGGACTAGAGGCCTGGTGCACTAAAATTGTGCATGGGGGACGGGGGTTCCTCAGCCTGGCCTGCACCCTCTCACAGTTCTGGACCCCTTGGGAGATGTCTGACTGTTGTTTTAGACCCGATCCCACAGGAATTCTTGCAGAATTGGGCCTAAACTGGCAGTTGGACATTGCTCTCCCGATCTGGGACCACTGGCTCCTAACCATTCGCCTGTCTGCCTGATCGCCCCTAACCACTCTGCCTGCCTGCTTCATTGCCCCTAACTACTCACCTGCCTGTCTGGTTGACCCTAACCACTCTGCCTGATGCCCTAGCCACTCACCTGCCTGCCTGATCACCCCTAAACACTCGCCTGCCTGATTGCCCCTAACCGCTCACCTACCTGCTTGCCTGATTGCCCCTAACCACTCTGCCTTGGTCCCTGCCACTGTGGCTTCTTTCAGAAGGATGTCCATAATAATGTACAGAAGGTCATTCAACTGTCCAGTCTAATTAGCATATTATGCTTTTATTATTATAGATAGTCCACAGTAGCCAACATAGGTTTTTTTCAAACCTTAAAAATGATTTGTTCCTTGTTAATGAAGTTTGAGGGTGAAAAGTATTCAATTTTTAGCCAAAACCGGTTTGGCTCAGTGGATAGAGCATCGGTCTGGGGACTGAAGGGTCCCAGGTTCGATTCCAGTCAAGGGCATGTACATTGGTTGCGGGCACATCCCTGGTAGGGGGTGTGCGGGAGGCAGCTGGTCGATGTTTCTCTCATTGACGTTTCTAGCTCTCTATCCCTCTCTCCTCCTCTCTGAAAAAGATCAATAAAATATATATTTTTTAAAAAAGTATTCAATTTTTAGACATATGATTAAAAGGTTTTTTTTGAAATATTAAAGTATATACAGTAAAAATTCTCTCTCTCATCTCTTATAGTCATTTTTCCCTTCCCTCTGAAAGGAAGATAGATAGATAGATAGACAGCTTTCAGATAGATATTTGCACCTTTTCTAACTTTATATATGTGCATACACACACTCACTCCCTTTGTCACACAAATGTAAATGTACTGTCCACACTGCTCTTCCACTTATTAGATCTTGGAGATTTTTTAAAATCAGAACATAAAGAGCTTCCTTATTCTTTTTTAAAAATGTCTTTTTATTGATTTCAGAGAGTAAGGGAGAGGAAAGAGAGATAGAAGCATCAATGATGAAAGAGAATCATTGAACAGCTGCTCCTGCATGCCCCTTACTGGGGATCAAGCCTGCAAACCTGGCATTACACTGTGACCTCCGGGTTCATAGGTCTTCACTCAACCAGTGAGCCACACTGGCCAGGACCTTATTCTTTTGTATGCTTACATTGTATTCCATTGAATGGCTGTATCAAAAATTTTTTTATTAACACTATCCTATATTGACAGTCACAGAATGTTCTTTTAACATTTATATTTAATTTGTTTAGATTTTTAGGAAGCAAAGTAAATAGAACAACACATTATATAAATTTACACAGTTTAACAAAAGACTGTTTCCTTTCAAGCATACCTACTTAAAAGAAGGGTTTGGCAGTCATTTAGGAAAACACAACCAATGTTTAAATACATTTTATGTTATTTTTTTAAAAGGATGAAACCTTAAACTTATTTTAGGTATTTTTGTCTAAGTGTCCAAAATAATGGAACTGATATGTCTGTTGGTTACTAAGTAAGCTAGTTTGTGATGATTATTTTCCCCTTGAATAATTTGTTTTATTAAAATACTAAAATTTCCGTTATAAATGCATATCAAAACTTTCTGTGCTCTTAGCACTTGATCAGTCAGTTTGAACTGGTGAGAAAACTCTGCTTCCTAAAATTGTTGGCCTGGGACAAATGATTACATCCTCCTGAACCATGACAAATTTAATTTAGCTCCAGGCCTGATTTACACATGATAACTCGATGGCTTGTTTCTCTTTTAATATTTTAGGTGTTTAATGAACGCTGCCGAATTCACTTCAAGCCTCCAAAGAATGAATAAAAAGCTCCTCTTTTTTTTAAAAGGACCGTGTCATCTCATAAGAGCTAAGCATGACAGACATCAGCAAGGCGGGCTTCCCAGGACGATCTCTGAGCCAACAGTCCAAGACTTTTTGTTGATTTCAGCCCCACTTAGCCAAGACCTCAAGTATAAATAATTCTGATAATTATGGAGAAATCAACTGCTATTTTATACTGATTCTGTTAAAAAAAAAAAAAAAAGATGTTTTGTAACTATTAAAATAATTTTCTGACTCAGTGTATATATTTATTTGATGATTTTCCAAGTTGAGAGAATATGAACACAATTTTAGTATCTGATTTTATTTGCATTATACCTTTTTGATTTTTATGAATTTATTGGCATGAACATGGGCCTTTTGGGTTGCTGATGATTTTATCCCTTTATGTTTGTACGTTTATTGCTCTTAAGTAAAAGGGCAGTATTATAGGCTGGATCCTGTCCAAAGAAACTTTCTCTTAGTATGTTAACTTCTCTTGTTTTCAAATGCAACAGAGATGTTTTCCTGGACAGTACTTCTGTGGACCATGAAAAGGAAAGCAGTAAAACAAATTCAGAAAAGGAAAGGCAGAGGAGGGCTTTATGATAGTAATAAAAAAGTCAGTGAAAAAACTGTCAGGATTTGGTCATTGCAAAAATAGCACTTTTTAAGTACAGGATGATTGTGTTCGTTTTTATTGCTGCCTAACAAATTACTAGAGTTTAGCAGTTTAAAATCCCACCTGTTTGTCATCTTGTAGTTTTGTAGGTCAGAAGCCCAGGCAGGCTAGGCTGGGCTCTCTGCCCGGGGTCTAACAGGCTGAGACCAAGTTGTCAGCCAGGCTGCATTCCCTAGGAAGAATCTGCTTCCTGCCTCATCCAGTGTGATGGCTGAATTTAGATCCTCTGTTTTAGGACTGAAATCCCCATTTCCTTGCTGGCTGGCAGGGGCTACACTCTTGAAAACTACCAACATTTCTTGTTACATGGCTGTCTCCCTCTTCAAGCTAGCAACAGAGTGTTGAATCCTTTTAATTCTTGGAGTATGACTTCCTTTTCTGATGTAAGCTACACAAACAGCTTTTATAGTTTGTGTGATTAGTTTAGGCCTACCGTGATAATCAGCATCTTCCTTACATCTGCAGATCCCTTTGGCCAAGTAATAAAGATCACAGATGTAATATTTCACATTCACCATCTGAGGGATTAGAGTGGGATAGCCATTTAGGGTTTTGCCTACCACAATTTAAGCCACATGGCTCTGGCACAGAGAGACTGATCATGGGTAGGCCTGTGTATTTAGTATGTTGATCTTGGTTAGACTATGCAGTTGGAAGTGAGCAATACAAGTATTAAGTGCTTGCCATTCTTTTAATAGAACTTTTAAGCACATGCTGTGGGTCAGATACTATCTTAGTTGCTGGGGTATTGATAACACAAGACCTACTGTGAAGATGGTATCCTAGTCTTTTTTTAAATATATTGTAATTTATGATAATTTAAGTCCAGAGTCTACATTATTTATTTATTTATTTTAAAGGAAACTCCCTATTTAAAAAAATATATATTTTATTGATTTTTTACAGAGAGGAAGAGAGGGATAGAGAGAAACATCGAGGAGAGAGAATCATTGATCAGCTGCCTCTTGCACACCCCCTACTGGGGATGTGCCCGCAACCAAGGTACATGCCCTTGACCAGAATCAAACCCGGGACCCTTCAGTCCACAGGCCGATGCTGTATCCACTGAGCCAAACCGGTTTCGGCTATTTTTATTTATTTTTTAATATATTTTGATTTTTTACAGAGAGGAAGGGAAGAGGGACAGAGAGCTAGAAACATCGATGATAGGAGAGAGAAACATTGACCAGCTACCTTCTGCACACCCCCTACCGCGGATGTGCCCCCAACCAAAGTACATGTGCTTGACCAGAATCGAACCTGGGACCCTTCAGTCCACAGGGTGACATTCTATCCACTGAGCCAAACAGGTTTCGGCAACCTAGTCTTTTCTAATATATATATATATTCTTTTATTTCAGAGAGGGAGGGAGAGAGAGAAACATCAATGATGAAAGAATCATTGACTGGCTGCCTCCTGCATGCTCCCACTTGGGATCAAGTCTGCTAACCTGGACATGTGCCCCTGACTGAAATCGAACCTGGGACCCTTCAGTCCACAGGCTGACTCTATCCACTGAACCAAACCAGCTAGGGCTAACCTAGTCTTCAACAATATTTTTCTAGAGTCAGCAATAAATGAAATTTTTGTACAGGATTTACCTATTAATGACAGGTGCCTGGTAGAAAGTTGATGCTCAATAATTACTGGATGTATGAGTGAATTGCAAGAATAAAGATAGCCTCACAAAGATCTTCCTGATGCTCAGGTGGGAATTCAGAAACAGAATCTTAGGATTTATAACAGCCTTTCCAGAATTCCAGGTCTGCTAAAGTACTATCTACCGTATTTCCCCCAAAAGAAGACCTAGCACATGGAAAGATAAGACATCCCCTGAAAATAAGACCTAGTGCAACTTTGGGAGAAAAAATTAATATAAGACACTGTCTTATTTTCGGGGAACAGGGTAGTTATGTTAAGATGCCTGAATTATTCCAGTGTAACATGAAAAATGTGTACTTTTGGTAATGTAGAGTGACTTTTAGTCTGAATGAGTAGCATATTCTGTCTGATAAATGGCATTGAAAGCCTCAAATAATGGTGCATTGCTCATGAAAATTGATTAGTCTCACATGTAATTGCTGCCTTAAAAACAAGCCTTGTTACTTGGAGGATAGGTAAGATTTAGCCAAAATAAGAGAGGAAACAAAATGTGGGAAAGTTCAGAGATGAGTTTGGCCCTTCCTGAGTAGGACAGAAGATAGCCATAGAAGAAACACCCATGATAAGCCATTTGCAAATTCCTTGAACAAACACTTGAATGCCTTCCATATTTGAGGCACTATTAATAGATCACTGAGCAAGAACAGATAAAAATACCTGCTCTTAATGTGCTTACATTACATAGTGAGGGGAGACAGACAATGATAAAGAAGTAAATTATATAATATGCTAAAAGTGATGTTCCATGCCCCAAAAGGAGGGGGGTTAGTAATGAGGAGTGGCAAGTGACTATTGTCAGGTGGTTAGACATGGTGCCCTTGTCTTTGAAAAGATGTTTTCAGTACAGACTGACATATACCAAATAAATTCAGTAATATTATAAAAAGGAAGTTTCCTAATAAGTCATTCTCTTTTTAAAGTTGTGCTCCAAAGATACCACTTTGGGAAATGGAACAATAATGTACCAGGTGCTACTCTGCTCATGTGCCACACTACTTATTTTAGACCACCCAGGAATAACTTGTAAACTGGGAGATTTGTTAAATGTGTGGTCTCATTTCAAGTCAAGAAAATTGAATATTCTCTCTAGAGCTAGGTGACCTGGTCAAATATGGTAGAGATTTCTTAGGTAGCTCATTATTTCCATATGTACTTAGCCTTATAGTTATCCTTGATTGACTCTTTTTAAAAATATATATACTTTATTGATTTTTTACAGAGAGGAAGGGAGAGGAATAGAAAGTTAGAAACATCAATGAGAGAGAAACATTGACCAGCTGTCCTGCACACCAACCACTGGCGATGAGCCCGCAACCAGTGTACATGCCCATGACCGGAATTGAACCCGGGACCCCTCAGTCCGCAGGCCAACGCTCTATCCACTGAGCCAAACCGGTTTTGGCTTGATTGACTCTTTAATAAACAACTTGTGTAGTTGAGCATGAACATTTACACTAATAAAGGAGAATGATGCAAATTGTACCTTCATGTCACTCACCAGCCACTCAGGAGTGAGTATGCAAATTGACCCAACAAAAGTGGTGGGTTAATTTGGATACAGACACCTAGTGGCCAGGGGCAGGATGCTTGCATTGTCGCCATGGTGGTGATGCAGGCGTTCTGCACCACTCCAGGCCTCTGGGCAGCGTGGGAAGGCAGAAAGGCGGCTCAGGACTGAAGCAAAGGCAGTGCTGGCAGCCAGGGGAAGGAAGGCCCATTGCACAAATATTCATGCATCGGGCCTCTAGTTGAAGAATAAAGAAGTAAAAACGTGCTTGCTCCTTATAGGGGAAGAATTTTCCAAGGAAGCCTAAACTACCCCAGTGCATTATGTACAGGAGGAAACCCAAAATCTTAGTAAGAGTTTAAGTGAAGAGCTCCCAGCTTCTAAATGCAGTGGCCAGCCAGCTGAGGGCCACCTTGTGAAAGGGGAAAGGATTGGTCTAGAGGAATTTTTGGGTCTCCTGGACACTAGGACAGGACAGCAAATCCACTGGCTGTAAAGGTAATTGCTGTAGATTGATTTTTCCCCCCCATTTCATTTTTTAAAACAAACAAGCAAAAATCTGCCTCCTAATTAAAATTCCTCAGTGGCTTCTCACTGCCTTGAAGATTAGCATCAATTTCTTTAAATGGCTTACAAAGTCCTTGGTGCTGTGGTTCCTTCTTACCCCCTACTTCACAGCTCTCTGCCTACACTCTGCTCCATACCAATAGGCCATCACTCAGTTCCCAGAAAAGACCCATTCTCCTCTCTGAACTTCTGCACATGCTCTCTCTTCCCTACTTCATGTCTCAACTAGCACTTCTTTTCAGCAAGCCTTTCCTGACCTCTCAAATACGGGTTAGGTGTCCCTTTTAAATGCTCCCAAGAGCAGCACCTCTTTCATGATCTTCACCTTGCTTCTCCGTGGCTACTTTCCTCTCCCTTGCCAACTTTTGAGGTCTGGCACTGTGATTCTCAATGCCTGGCCTGGAAAACCTGAAATAATGCTATGATAGTTCCCTTTCTTATATACATTTTCCCCTTCCTGACCAAACAGAATCCTGATTTTATCGGGAGTGGTAGTGTGCTCGGCTTCCTTTGTAGCTCCAGATAGCAGTGAGGCAGTTTTGGCTGCTAAAGCATTTCTGAGAAACTTACTTTCCTGATAAAGGCATTGTCCTTTCCTCTTTTCTACCTAGGGTATGGTTAGGGTGGCCTTCTGCATGTGCCCCCTAATGGGGATTGTGTCTGCAACCTGAGCATATGCCCTCACGGGGAATCCAACCGACCTTCTAGTTCATAGGTCATAATGCTCAACCACTGAGCCATGCCAGCTGGGCTGTTTTATTTCTTGTTGTTGAGGTTTGGGCCTGGCCAGTTCTCTGAAGTCACCTCCTGCTGGATTTCCAAATTCCTGAAATGAGTCAG